TATGTGCTGTCGTGGATAGAAACGCGTAACGATCCCATTGAAAGAGGCACACTCACCGCCCTGTTTGAGAAATATTTCCCCAACCTTATGACGAGACAGCGTGCATTTCGACGTACGACGCCTATCAGCGAAATGGCTATGATACAAATGACTTGCCATCTGCTCGAGAGTTTGCTGCACGCGCTCAAACGGGTAGGTATAGTCCATTAGAATCAATCATACCCAAATGGGTCTTGAGACCAGTTAAAATATAAGACATTTTTATTGAGCTAATTTTTTAGTTCGATAGTCTACCGCCGCTACAGATCGTAATCTATGGCAGATTGTAAATGCTCTACTATATATGTAAATATATGTACTTTCCTCCTGCTGGCTGTCGAATCTCGTCAGGCACTCAGTGCGTCAAAATGTACTGATCATCCTGTTAGGTTTCCCAATGGCACTGTGACCTGATTTTCATATCAGTCTAAATTGTAAGGGACCTAAAAGAAATTCAGCCCTAACCAGGCTTTATCCAACGACTCTTGAGTGCTTCATCAGTAAATCGCCTGTCTTCTTTTTAGTCTTAATTGGGCTCATCCGTAAAAAGAACTCACTGAACTTGTGCCGCAGATAACACTTTACGTCTGCAAGAGGTCGTGCTCCCCTAAGGACCCAACTAACAGACCAACAACACTGACCACGAGTTTGACAACACTGGCAAAACTGTCGCGACAGGCTGGGCCAGTGCCGTCAAAAAGTGTAAACCTGATCTGGGGCCCATCTCGTCGCGACAGTATTGCCCCAAAGCAAGCGGTAGATAAACCTTGATTTGTTTAGACCTTCAGCGCACCTATGTTATAATTATTTGCGGCTGTTAACGACTTTTCATAGGAGCTCAAGACACAAGTACAGAGTACAGCAATGAGTTGTTTAACGAAGCCGGCGAAAAAGTGTATGTCTCTTTCATATCTTTGTCTGCTTAGTTCCGACCAAAAGTTTTCGTTGAATTATCACCGCCTACAACAACTTTATCTATGCCACGTGCTCTTTCTGCCAAAAGACAATAGCTCTTGGATTGATATTTTTAAAAAAATTCACTAATATTTGTCCTCAACTCTAGGTGAATAGAATCGAAGAAAACGCCATTGATACCCACAGCCTTGTGAACCCCAGTGAAACTGCAAAAGATGCCCTGAACTTATCTATCGAATTGATATTCATCTATGCAACAATGTGGGGGTTCGGTGCAGCGCTGCATCAAGATCACATTATTGACTGGCGACGTGAATTTCACAAATGGTGGACAAGCGAATTCAAGGACGTCAAGCTGCCTGCCCAAGATTCTATTTTTGATTACCAACTGGATTTGCGCACAAATAAATTTCAACGCTGGTCGGAGTTGGCGTTGGTGCAAAAAATTGAGCCGATAGATACTGAAGTACCAATACAGGTACGTACCTGCATACGTAGATGGCAGTTGC